ACCCCTATAGATAACTTATAGAGTCCTACTTTTTCGTGTTAGGGTTCAGGGTGTTAGGGTTTACGGCTTCGGGCTGAAGGGGTTTCGCTTTGTTCGGGATTCAGGCTCACATAAGGGTTTCTGGTTCAGGGCTTAAGTAACTGTTGGGAACCAGGGCTTCGGGTTTAGAGTTTGGGTACGTTGGAGGTCCGTGTGGTTTCCGATAAACATGTCTCACTTGTTGGTTCAAAGCGTCAGGGGCTCAGATTTGCATGACTCCAACAATGGCCAGAAGATTCGTAGTTGGGCTTCAGGCCTCAATTCGCAGATGAAGGGCCGCTTCCGGAGGTGGCTGGCGCAGTCCTCTGCTGTCACCCCTTTCTTGCCAAATACCTCTGGCATGATTTGAGAAATTTTCGTTTGTTAAGATATGCCAGAAGAGCATGAAACCCCAAACACCAATCGCGCTATTCCCGGGAATGGGTCTGTCGGCTCTTACGCACTGTCTAGTTGCCAAAGCCGAAGCCAAAAACATAAGGACATGGGCATAAGCCTTTCGCACCACACTTCGACCCTACAAGTCAAGGCTGAACCTTGAGGGTTTGGGGGTTTAGGGTTTAGGGGTTCGGGGGTTTAGGGGTTAGGGTTAAGGGCTGAGTGTTGACTTGAATTAGGGACTGCCAGGGCTTACAGGGTAAAGCCCGCAGTCTGACACTGCCCCTCTTGCGAAGTGGCGTGGCTTGCGCTTGACAGGCTTGTGCGGTTTGCATCGAATTAGGGCATGCCTCCCTTCGGCTGCCTCTGCCACAGACTGTCTGGATTGGTGTCGCTCTCCGGCCACCCAATGACCAGGAGAGCAAAATGATGACGTCAGTAGAAGATTTAAGCCGTATTTCACGGTTCAACGTAAACAAATCCGAAACAGCTAGCACGAACAAGAACAAGAAGAAACGCTTGAGCCCCGAATCCTGAATGCGGACCCTGAATCGTTGATTTATGCCGGACCCTATAGACCCCAAAACCATAGTATACGGAACAGCAGAAAAAGGTGTTCGTGCTTCAGCCTGCGATACAGATTTGTTTGTGGCGCCACTGTCTTCCAAGCCAGTGGTCAAATTCGGATCGGCCTGTTGATGAAAGTTGTTCATTTACTTGTTTGTCTATGTATACATATATGCATATATGTATATGTTTATGTATAGATATATCCAGTATATAAGTTGAAAGAACACAGCCCCAGAGACCCGACAGAGGAGGTTACAGAGGTTAGGTTGAGAGGCCCTGCTTTAATGCTTCAGGGGCCCAGGTTTCACTTGTGAAGTCAGACTACGAACGCCACTTTGGCTCAAGGAAAAAGAAGGGCAATGCAGTTAGATGCCCTGGTTCTTTAGAGGGTTGGCCGGGTTTAAGTACCTTCCTTCCCTCTTGATTGGTTATCAGCCGTAGCTCTTTGTTTCCTTTGGTTTCCTACTTGAACCCGGCCGCAGGGTTTTAGTGGTTCTTCCCCCTGCCATAGCAAGAGCGCAGCCTTAGGCGCGCTGGTGGGCAGATTGCTAGTGGGGTGCTGCCTTGTGCGCACCGGCTAGCATATGCCACCAAAGGGCGAGGCACCTGCCGGAGACAAACCCTACAGAGGGGGCCGCGCAGGAGCGAAGAGGAGGAAGCTTCACTTTTACCAAGCGCAGGACGCTTTGATCCAACTTGCTGAGTCGGTACAGAACATAATCGTGCGCAGGCGGAACTTTGAAGACGTTACCGAGGCCCACTACGACACGATTATTAGGTTCGGCCAGATTACAGAACAGGTCGACGTATTCCACCCAGTGTGGGCAGACCTGGTCGAGTACTATCCTGAGTTGTGGACTGCTTTTTCGGACGTGACGGAAGAGCCTGCCACTGGGTCAGGAGCGCGTTGGAGGCCGAAAGCCGCAGCAAAGGCAGCTGGGTCGGGGGGTGCTGCTTCAAGCGCACCACAGGAGGAGGAGCAGCCAGCCGAGGAAGCGTCAGGCGCGCCCGCAGAGGGTGCAGCCCCTGGCGCACCGGCGCAGCCGCCCACACCTCCGAAGGCGCCGGCTCTTGGAATAAGGGGACCCACGCGGGACCTTTATTACAGGGGCCGGAGCGACCCACTGAGGCAGAGGAGGGTGCCAGCAGAGCCAGAACAGATCATTGAAGACACTGGCGCGAGAGCATCTTCCGAGCCACCGGCTGCCGAGGACGAGGTAGATCTGTCCAGAGCTGGCGGGAATCCGGCAGAAGATTCCCTGCGATCTGCCAGGCGCGTCCGCACCCCGCCGGCGCGGCGAGCGCAAGAGGAGGCACGCCTGGAGGAGCTTAGGCTCCGCGGCTCGGTGTTTGCCTCTTTTAGGGACGCCGAAGACGCGGAGCCCGAGCAGGCCGAGCAGGCAGAGCAGGCAGCCGGCCGGGAGGAGACCGAGGAGATAGAGGTAGAGGTCGAGGTTGCCCAAGGCGACGACGGGGGTGCTGCCGTAGGCGCACCGGACGACGAGCCCGCAACCGAAGGCCGACAGGCAGAAGGCGCCGAGGAGGAAGAGGCAGCAGAGGAGGACGAGGCAATAGACGTGCCCCCTGCCTCGGAGGCAACAGTTTCTCCAGCCCCCTCGGAAGCCGCAGCCCCGACCAGAGAAGTGCGCGTGAGTGTGGGCCGCGGCCGGGGTGTGACCCGAAGGCCGCTTATCCTGGCACCCGCCACCGAGACTTTCCCCACAGTTCGGGTTGATAGTCAGGGTGCTTGGGTTAGGGTTAGGGATCCTAGTGCAGTTCCCTCCTTTCAGCGTCGTGCCGTGCCCCCCCCGAGGGTGCAGCGCACCGCGCACCAAGGGGACGCAGAAGAAGCACTTAGTGCACCTGATCCGTTTGATTTGCCCAACGACGCGTGGATCGACCCACATTCTTACCGGGAGGCCTATACAGCTAGTGGGGTTCCTAGGGGTGTGTCCGTAGCGCGCATAGACACCAGCTCAGAAGAGGAAGGTAGGCAGCGGGGTGCTGCCTCAGGCGCACCGGCAACACCCAGGGCACCACCACAGAGAAGGCCGTTCCGACAGGGTGAGATCGTGGAGGCTGAGGTGGAAGAGACAGCGACCTTGAGACGGCGACCCGCGACTCCGGAGGGAGAGCCTCCAACGAGGCGCCCCCGCGTTGTCTTGACCCCAGCGTCCAAGGCATCAAGCGTCCCCGCCACAGCCAGCGCACCGTTGAGGGTGACGCGCCCGCCTCCAAAGGCCAGGCCCAGGACCGCAGGCGAAGGCACAAGCACAGGCACAGGTCAGGCCAAGAGAGGTGCAAAGGCAGAGCCCATAGAAGCCGTCGAGGAAGCAGGGCCCAGAGAGCGCACAAGGACCCCGCGCCGACCAGAAGCAGCTCCCCCAAAGGGTGCTGCCCAGGCGCACCGGGGTCGAGGGCGCAGCGGGTCCTGGCCGCCCAAGCGGCAAGCATCTTCTTCACCAGAGGGTGCGGTTTCTGAGGGTGACTCCCCAAGGTCACGTGCACCGGCGACCAAGGAGAGCCTGCCAAAGGCGCGGCAGTCGCAGCCAAAGCTGCCCTCGAAGGTGCCACCCACAGATAGGCACGGGGTAAAGTATAAGTCCCCTCCTGTGCCGGCGCCACCCGCGCCAAAGGGGACGGCAGCACAGCCGGTGTTCAAGGGCCCGCCGCACGCTGTGTTTGTGGCTAGCATCACGAGAGGTGGCCAGGAGCAGCCCAAAGCAACTTCCAAGGCTCCGCCGCCGATTGTCACCGGCAACCGCCAGAAGCTAGCTTATCACGCGTGGGCACAGCAGGCTAGAGACGAGGAGAACGCCCAGGCCGCAGCTTCAAGCGCGGCAGCTGCCAGTGCTTCCTCGCAAAGGGTGCTTGCTTCGCGCACCGAGGCCACGATTGTCTTCGACTGGCACCACGTCTTAGACAAGGCCTGGATCGAGTCCACAGGAGCTACCTGGGAGACCCGCCGTGGCTCCCACGGATATTTCAACCTTGAGTTTGTGGACGCGCTCAAAGCATTCTGCGAGGAGCATAAGCCACTCCGATTGGCAATTTTGAGCTATAGCACACCCTCTTCATCGGCGTGGTATCGTCATCATTTCCTCGAAGAGGCCTTAGAGTGCTTGCGTTTGGTGTTGCCGCTGAGCATCAACCTCAGCATCGGCCAAACATATCAGCGCACTGGCCCCGACGGGAAGGCACAACAGTTGTGCCAGATAGAGCCGCCAGCAAGTCTCATTATTGACGACAATCGCGGCATTATAAAAGAGTGCGCGAAGACAGGCGCGCTCACTGTGCAGGCGCAGAAGGGTGGCGGCGTCGACCAGCTGATCTACGAGCTCAACCAGGCAAGCGCGTTGATCAAGCGAACGGGGCGCAACAACCTCCCAAAGGCTCGCCACCTGGAGCCCCGCGAGCTCCTTTACGAGAGGTAGCGCCCCAGGGTGCTGCCATTGGCGCACCGGGCCGGCTCACCCAGCCTGCGTGTCGCCACCGCCTGCTCCTCTCGCGGCGCCCTAGGGTGCTGCTCCAAGCGCACCGGGCCACCTTAGTGGTTTAGTGCCTTGGGTTTTTGTAGCATAGGGGTCGCAAACGTCAGCCCCATCCTCTCGGGCCGCCGCCGCCGCACGACACCATCCCTTGCAGCGCCCTAGGGTGCTGCCTGTGGCGCACCGGGCCGGGTAACAGGTCTAGGGTGCATTTGGGTTCTAGTGCTGGGTGGTGGTCCCTAGAGACAGTGTATCATACTTTTGCCTTTGTGTGTGTGCTGCCTTTTGCGCACAGCCGTCGGCACACACCTTCTTTCAAGACACTTGGTCCCCGAACGGGCCGACCATCGCGAGCATCAGTCACAAAAGTCTTTTCGAGAGTGGTTGCGTGAGGGGTCCTGTTTTCTTGCCCCCTCCCCTTTTGCCCTAAGGTTCTTTTGGGGATTCTTTCGGGTCCCGGCCGATAGGCGGTTTTCGTAGACAGGGTGTTGTTTGGGCTCAAAGGCTCAAGCTTCAGGAGGTGAAGCCATGTCAGGCATCTCCCCACCATCAGAAGACCGAAGCCGAAGCCGAGCATCCGGGGAATCCTCCTTTAGCGACCCAGAGCTTTTTAGCGGCCAGGCCTTGGTGCCAGCTGCGGCAACCATTCTTAGGATTAACCAGCCTACCCCCGCACCACAAAGGAGTGAAGGGTATAGCTCGTCCTCCGCGGCGTCTCCCCCACAAAGGGGTCCCGAACTTAGCGCAACACAAGCCACCTTTATTGCAGGTGCCGCCGTGACACACGCCCACCACGCCTCCGGCGTTGCCTTGGGTGCTGCGTCCCTCGCGCACCAGGCTGCAGAAAGGGAACAGCAAACAGTTGCTCAAGCAAGGGAGGCTGTAATGCAAGCAGGCTTCCAAGCTGCAGCGGCCGAGGCACAGTACCGCGACGAGGCCCAGTCGATCGCACGAGCTGCGCAGGGTATCGTGGATGATGCTAGGTTTCGAGAAGCCAGCCTTAGGCAAGAAGCCCAATCTGCCATTGACGCCACCAATCGTGAGGCTCAACAACGGGTCTCGGTGATTCAAGGTGAGGCCCAGCAAGCCATAGCCCAAAGCAACCATTCAGCCCAAGCTAGGATTAGGTTAGTTGAGGGTGAGGCCCGGGGTTTATCAGAAGCTCTTCGGCAAGCCACTTTGGCACGAGAGCAGGCTGAGGTTGATAGGCAGGAAGCGGTTCAGCGTTTACAACAACGTGACGCTGATATCATGAGGCTGGCCGGCGAGATGGAGATCATGCAGCGACGCCACGAGGAGGCAATGGCCGTTATGGCCGAGCGGTACCGTGACCTTTCTGCTAAACTCGTGGAGAGTAGCAACACGCAGGCCCCACGAACTCCAACTAGAGCCCGTCTTGCCTTTCCGGAGATGTCTTTCTCCCCGGATACGAGTCGAAATGATACGGTCCAACAACCCAACACCCCTGTAGTGGAGCCAGTGCTTGGAGAACAAGAGACCCTAGGCACCCCGCTTGTCGAACAGCCGACAGGCGAGAGCGATGCACTCCAAGAGGGTGCAGCCGCCGGCGCACCAGGGGGGGAGGCCAGCACAGGACCTCCCGAAGATCCACAGCCTACTTCAGTAGACCAAAGGGTTGATGAATTGGCTAAGTTGGTTTCCGATCTAGCGAAGTTGGTCGCAGCTAGTGCCGCGCAGTCTGGTAGTGCAGCCGCGCCTTCGGGTGCAGCCCCAAGCGCACCAGCAGAAGCACAGTCCGACCCATCACCTCAGGTACCCACGTTGAACCTAGGAGGCACCGCTCAAGTTACAGCGCCACCAGGCTCACCAGGATCAGGCGGATCATCCAGCTCATCGTCCTCATCTGATTCCTCAGCAAGGTCCGAGCACCCAGCATGTAGGATGTGTGGTTCTAAGAAACACGCAGAAGAGGAGTGCCCAGAGCTCACCTGCAACAAAGATGGAGGTGATGATCCAGCCCCTGACGGTGATGGGGCCGCAGCTTCAAGCGCGGCGGCTCCGAAGACCAATGCAGAGCTTGAGGAGGACACCATCAGAGTGAAATCGCTTTCTGATTTATCCTTCCCAAACCCGCCACAAAACGCAGCGCAAGCGAGAGGGTTTGTGAATCAGACCTTGATGGCCATTGGAAAACTCCAGAACACCCCAGGCGATGAGGTGTACATCTGGGCACAAGATTGCCTAAAGAAGGAGCCTGCCGCACTTTGTAAGGATGGGCGCTTCCCTCGCCTTGACCGCGAGATCGCCGCTAAGCTTATCAAAGTGTGTCGCCACGGTCGTTTCGGGTTGCTTTTCCAGCAGATGGTCGAGTCTGAGAGGCTCAAGTCGGGTGGCATGCCCAATGGTCGCTGCATGTTGCGCGCCATTTATCGGCACTTCCAGCTGGAACGTGACCGCATGGGAATGTTAGCAGAACGCAACCTTCTGAACATTAAGATTGGAGGGGATGGTATTTCCCATCTGGAGGCATTTCGTGATAAGTATCACTACGTCGCCAATACCATTCCTGTAGAGGATCTCCCTAAGGACAGTACGATCTTCAATCATCTGATCGATGAGTTCGAAAAGGTTTCAGTTCTTAAGCCCAAGGTAGAGAAGGCGAGGGAAGCAAGACCGGGATCACACCGTCGCACCGCCGCATGGTTGTGGAACCGCGTGGACATTGCAATCGACTTGCACCAGCAGCGTGTCAATCGACAGGAATTCGATAAGTCCTTGCAACAGAAGCCAGAGACCTTGACTTCCACCTCCCAGCCTTCAAAGCCAAGTGTGCCCGCAACACCTGCACCGGGTGCTGCCGCAGGCGCACCGAAAGGAGGCACTGCCGACAAGCCGCTGAAGAAGGAGAAGAAAAAGAAGAAAAAGAAAAAGAAAGACGAGGGCGAACCCGAGGTCGAGGTCCCAGGCGCACCTGCCCCAAAGGGTAAGGGCAAAGGCGGAAAGGGCGGAAAGGGCAACGGAACACCACGAAGCCCAAAAGGTGGTGATACGACGCCCAGATCTGCTCAGGCCAAAAGCGCCAGGAACATGACCCCGGAGGAGAAGGCCAAGACACCGTGTATGTTTTGGGCGTTCGGCGCCTGCAAAGGCGACCCCTGTCCGTTCCTTCACGACAGCAAGAACAAGTACACTGGTCCTAAGCCCAAGTCACTTGCAAAGCCAGACGCTAAGGCTAAGCCTAAGGCAAAGGCGAAGGCGAACGCTGCAACGGCACCGTTAATCAATGCTCTCCCCGCCGAGCTGAACCAGGATGGCAAGATCACCTGGCTTTGGGACACGGCAGCAGGTAGGCATTTGATAGGTCGCCAGGCGCTTTCCTCCAAAGCCCTTTCCTGTGTCACCCGCTCCGAGACACCTGTTGGTTTTGCCACTGGTGGCGGCGCGCGTGAAGGCACTCACAGCCTCGCGTTTGAGGGCAGCCGGTTGTTACCTTCAGAGGAGCAAGTCTACGTACTTAAGGAGTGTCCGCCAGCCTTTTCTGTAGGTAAAGCTGTCCTTGACGAGGGATCCTTGTTTGTCTGGGACCCTCGAGACCACCGTCCGTACTTCGTGAAGAAAGAGGACGTGCACCGCTGCAAGCTTCGTATCCCGCGCAAAGCGAGGATCAATGCGACCAGGGTCGTAGAATATGTTCCCCAGTTCGAGGAGACATTGCGCCCGGCAGTAAGGGAGCAAAGCCCAAGCCTAAGCCCCGTTACTGCATCGGCATCCCCTGCGCCGAAGGATGATGATACTGTGTCGTTCAGCGATTTCGAGGTCGCAGATCTTGAAGAGGCTGAGGCAAGCTATCCCCGCACAACCTCTGGCGATTATGATTGGGAAGCCGACGTCGTCGAGAAGCATGCAGAGAAGAAGGCTGAAGCGAAGCGGCTTTTTCGCGAAGGCGCTGTAGGTGAGACAGCTGCCAGTGAGAGCTCCGAAGAAGAACTCTTTCCTGAACTCTTCAAGGGAAAGCCCGCAGGTACGCAGCAGCCCGCCGAAGGCACAACAGCCAAGGAGGCTGCCTCAGGCGCCTCTAGTTCGCGTGAGGGGGCTGCTCCAAGCGCCCCTTCCACAGAGCAACCACCGCTGGTGCCACCTCCTCCAGAGCCTCACTCTAAGACCGAAGAACTTAGAGCCGAAGCCACGTCTGAGAAACACCTTAGGACCCACTTTCCTAAGAATCCCTTTTGCAAGATCTGTCACATCGCCAAGACCACCTCAATGCGTGTGGCTCACAAGCCCGATGCCAAGGCAGATGACATGATTGATGTTCCCACTGCACCGTTTCAACAGCTCGCCACTGATGATGTCATCATGGCCAAAGGTGACGAACACCGGGGCATAGGAACCGGCGGAGTGAAGTCACATCATGTTGTAAGGGATGTTTTCTCAGGGGCTAGAGTTGCGTACCCTATGACTCGTAGGGGTGCTGCCCAGCACGCACGTAACTTTCGGCACTTTATAGGTCTTAGGGCGCACGAGCTGTCGCCAACCTGTCTCATTAAATTAGATGAAGCAGGTGAGTTGATAGTAGCGGCGGAGGAGGTAGGCTTGACCCCGGAACCCTCTCTTCCCAACAGATGGCCTCACAACGCCTTGCTGGAGAGGGATATCCGCGAGGAGAAAGAGTGCTGCCGAGCTATCCACTTACAGAGTGGTTTGCCATACGACATGCATTCTTACTCGTACCCTTACGCGTGCCTTTCCTTGTCCTTCGACAGGATTGCACCGATAGGGGGGGTCACACAGTGGGAGGCCCTCACAAAGGAGCCCTTCAATGGGAAGAGGGCCTGTTTTGGGCAACTGGTCTGGTACCGCTCTAAAGGTTCTAAGCGTACTCTTGAACCCAACATGTCACCAGGGCTTTTCCTAGGGTGGCGGATAGACGCTGGTATGCGCTATCGCAATGTTGTTAAGGTTCTTGATTACAATGACTTTCGCGGCAAACGCAACACATCTGTTCATGATGTCCCAGAACCTGAGCTGTACATCGAAGACGGTCCGCCCATCTTCCCTGTTGCAAACGCTACCCGTAAGGCGCTAGTCGACGGCTCCACTTTGAGTGCTGCCTCTGGCACACTGCCCGAGATCCCATTGCGGGAGATTCCCTTTGCTCTTGAAAGCATCGGGCCGCCGGCGCCCAGAACACCTGGCGTTAGGACGGTTTATATCACCGCTGATAGGATTGTTAAGTTCGGGGAAACGCCGGGTTGCTTAGCGTGTAGAGGTAAGGCCATAAAGCACACCGACACTTGCAGAGCACGCTTTGCCGAGCTTGTTAAAGCAGACAAGGAAGAAGCTGCCGCAAGGAGGGCTGCGCTTCGCGCCCTAGGTGAGTCACCCGAGACTCCCGCACCAAGTGTTGCACCAGAGACTCCCTTTCCAAGCGCTGCTCCAGAAACCCCAGCTCCAAGCGTAGCACCAAGCACTCCGGTACCTCCTGCTTCTGCTACCGTGAGCGTTGTTTCAGCAGGCGCTGCCTTGCCACCGTGCACTGCCAGTGCCACGTGTCTTTTGGACACTGTACGCGGAAAGGAAGACCTACCTGTTTTCGGTTTAGCTGCCCCCTCCACACCACGTTTCGGGGAAGACAAAGCACACCTAAGAGGTAACAAGCGGAGTCGAAGGAGAGGGAAGCCTACTAAGCTCACGACTGTCTTCGAGTATGCATGTTCCCAAAACTCAATGTTAGGGCGTGTAAACGAGGAGCTTGGAGTACCACACGTACGCCTCGCCAAGGAGACCTTGGACGTTGAGAACGAGCTTGTAGCTGCCCAACTGCACGAACAGTTTAGGGCGTGTCCGAGGAGTCACCTCTGGGTATCTCTGCCCTGCACCTCTGGATGCCAATGGCATCGCGTTCAGCTCAAGAGGGGCGGTGGCGAGTATCGCGCACGACTCCTGCAAAAGATTCATAGGTCTAAGAAGTTGTTCGCACAGTTTGCTGAGCATGCTAAGACCGCGCTTGACCTCGGGATTGGCGTCACGTTTGAGTGGCCGAGGTATTCCGATTCATGGAAGAGGCCTGATGTAAAGGAGTTCTTTAAGGATCCTAGGTTTAAGGTTGTTGACTTTGATGGTTGTATGTTAGGTGTGTCTGCTTCAGGGGGGCAGCCGGTTAAGAAACCATGGCGCCTCATGACAACATCCACATCTATCGTATCAGCCTTTGAAGGGATCACCTGCAACCATGATCCCAGTGAGCACGTCGAGGCTCGGGGAAAGGATCTTGAACTCACTGGGTTGTACACGCAAGAGATGTGTGAGCGCATCGCCTTTGCCATCAACCCCAGTAGGGCCTATATCTCGGTTCCTGCGATGCCGATCTTACCCACTTCCACAACCATTGAACACCGCGAAAAGGAACAGGAACTGAAGCACGTTTCCGCTCTCAGCGGATACGAGGACCTTGCCGCCGTAATAGAGTCCGACCAGGAGGCTTCTAAGCTCGTAGAAGAGGTCGTCGACCTTTCCGCCCTTATGTGTGCAGTTCATGGCATACCTAAGGAAGCACCCTCAAAGGAGGTGTCTGCAATGGTGACGAAACTTCTCTCTCGGGCCGAAATGCTCTCCTCACCTGAGGCCCTCAATGCGGTGAAACAGGAAGCAGACGGTCTTCGCGCAGTTCCAGTGTGGGACGAAACGAACCCGCAGGAATACGCTAGCGTCCAAGCGCAAGCGCGCCGCACGGGCACTAAGGTACACTTCGGCAAGCTGATGAGCATTGCGTCCATCAAGTTTTGGGAACTTGCCAAGCACCTTCAGAAGGTTAAAGGCCGAATCGTGTACCGGGGTGACTGTGCGAAGGACGAAGAGGGCGCCGCAGCGGTTTACAGAGAGTTAGGTGCAAACCCCACCTCTGTTCAGGGACTTAATGCCTGTTTAGCTTACGGTAGCTTACCTGGCCATCAGTCCAGTGCCGCAGACGCCGTCAAAGCGTATGTGCAAGCTCTCCTTAAATCCAAGTACCAAACTTGGATAGAGCTACCACCTGAACTTCGTCCTGCTTGGTGGCGTGAGTGTTTTGCAAAACCAGTAGTGCTGCTTCTACGCGCACTGTACGGCCACCCAGAAGCGGGCGGACTGTGGGAGAAACACCTTAAGGAGGTTCTTAGGAATATGGGTGGACAAGAACTGCCGGAATATCCAGGTAACTTTTGGTTTCCTGAGACTAAGCTCCTTCTTTCCACTTATGTAGATGATCTTACCCTCTCTGGACCACAGGAGGAGCACCAACCGTTTTGGGATGCTTTATGTAAGGTTGTTGATGTAGAACCCCCGGAGCCTGTGTATAGGATCTTAGGCCGCAACCATTGCACTATCAACGCCGAGCCCGAAGGCACCGAGAATGCTGCCCTAGGCGCATTAAAGGGTGCCATGGCGTTTGATATGTTTGATTACGCACAGCAGACAGTAGACCTATACAAGGGCCTTACTGGCCTTAAGACTCTAAAGCATGCTGCCACACCTTTCGCTCCTGAGGCTTCACTTCCAGTAAGTCAAGAGGAGATTGCTGGGGAGCTGGCTCCTAACGCATGTAAGGTGCTGATGAAGGCCCTTTGGCTAGGCAGACTTGCACGTCCTGACTTAGTCAAGCCGATAGGTGACCTCGCGACCAAGGTGCAAAAGTGGTCGAGGAACGATGATAAGAAGCTTCTTCGCCTGATAAGCTACATCGATTCCACTAAGACCCACCGCCTTGTAGGCACTGTATCGGACGGGCCAAGGGAGCTGCATCTTGCGCTCTACGTTGATGCCGACTTTGCAGGGGAAAGGGACGATGCCAAATCCACCAGTGGAGGTTTCTTAGTCCTAAAAGGTCCCAACACCTTCTTTCCTCTTGCATGGGTGTCCAAGCGCCAGACGTCTGTGAGTCGCAGTACCACAGAGTCCGAGATTGTGTCTTTAGCTCATAGCCTCTTCCAAGAAGCACTTCCGGCATTGCAGCTCTGGCAGACCATCCTCGACTATCCGATCAGGTTAGTCATTCATGAGGACAACCAGGCTACGATCCTAGTTGCGAAGAAGGGCTATTCGCCAAAGCTTAGGCACATAGCGCGCACCCATAAGGTCAATCTGGGTTCCATCTCTGAGGTGATTGATGAGGATGATGTAGACATTGAGTATGTCGATACAAACTTGCAGGCTGCCGACATCTTCACTAAAGCACTTCCACCGCAAAAGTGGGGTAATGCGTTGAAGTTGTTAGGCATGCGCCAGAAGCTTCCCGAGATTCTGGTAGACACGAGACAGCTCAAGACCAAAGCCGGTAGTGGCCCTACCACCTCTCCCACTTCGGGGTCTAGTCCCAAGTAGCGACGTTCACCTTTGCACAGCTTGCCGGAGGGAGCTGCTTTTAGCGCTCTTCCGCTAGGGGGGCTGCCGTAGGCGCCCGTGTGCTTAGGGGGCTGCTTTAAGCGCCCCATTGTACAGTTTCGAGTAGTTCGCAGTCTTTCCTGTAGCTGACTCTGGCGAGGGGGGAGTTGAAAGAACACAGCCCCAGAGACCCGACAGAGGAGGTTACAGAGGTTAGGTTGAGAGGCCCTGCTTTAATGCTTCAGGGGCCCAGGTTTCACTTGTGAAGTCAGACTACGAACGCCACTTTGGCTCAAGGAAAAAGAAGGGCAATGCAGTTAGATGCCCTGGTTCTTTAGAGGGTTGGCCGGGTTTAAGTACCTTCCTTCCCTCTTGATTATATATATATATATATATATATATATAACACATAATGGCTATATCTGTATATCTATCAATCTCTATCCGGGCGATTTTAGGATGTAGGGTTCAGGGTCTATAGAGTTTGTCCGCGAATTGAGAGTATCCATGGAGGGGCTTGACAAGAACCATCGGTAGCTTGATGTTGCTCTCTGGTTTGCTGATTAAGGGTTTCAGGCTTCTGCCTTTCGCGAATAGGACGTACCCGAAAGCCTCAGTGCTAGACCGCAAACGTAGGATTTAGTGTGTTTAGGATTTCGGGGTGTTTAGAGTCAATCCTGTCGCCCATCATACTGTGCCGCATATTCGGGTTGGGGATTGAGGCTTATGGTTTTGAGGTAAGGGCGTAGGGTAGAGTGTGATTTACGATGTCTTGCAAAGCCGCAGAGCGATTTGTGTGTTGATCTCCCCGTGAGTAGGTTCGTATAATCCCGACCCTCGAAGCTTGTGGCAACTGTGCTTTGATTTGGCAGGCCGTTTGCAGTGACCCGTGTTGCTCGAATTCCGACGCAATGGGCATCCATGCCTTATCCTCGCAAAAAGTATGTTCGGTAAATCTTAAATACAATCGCGCATCCTGTCCAGTATCATCATCATGCAACAATCATCATCGCCATCAACGATCCTGTCCATGATCGCAGACCATCTAAAACCTAAAACCCTAAACCCAGGAATCTTCAGCTCTACACCCTAGATCATGGCTTCCAGCATCTGAACAACAAGTCATGCGAGTGATAGAAAGAAAACAGGTTTTGAAGACGGAAATATAGAATATAGAAGCACAAACGATTTCCAACATTATTCCTTAGGGTTCTCTATTATGTTTATGCTGTAAAGTAGTCCAAAGCTGTATTCTATGTATTAAGGTCCCTACATGAGGTAGGACTGTTAGGAGTTCGGAAGTTTAAAGGTGTCTCGTGAAAACAGCGAACCTGCTGAGTGCTGCTGCAGGATGCTGTCAGTCACTTGCCTATGAAGTTGGCATGTGTACCGCAGCAAAACGTGGGCGGCCTTGGCCGTTTTCAGCTCATTCTCGAGGAGGGTTTCGCAAGCTGGCACATGGAGAGCCTCAAGCACTGCTAAAGCATATCTGCTTGACCCGCCCTTTTGCAGCAAAAGAAGCTCAAGCCATGCCGGTGCAGAAGCCCAGGGCTGGTTTGGCCTTGCCCTCAAGCTCACAAGGCTTTCTAGCGACCTCGTCTTTTGAACGTATCGGCGGGCTATCGGTCGTTTGAGTGCCCACGGCAAGACTCTTCCGGGATATGCAAAGTGTGTGCCTGGAACAGAGCTTGAGGTTTTCAGACTTCAGAGCGGGAGGGGGGTAAAGCGGACGTTGCTTGAGGGCAATATTCCAACATGGTTCCGTGCTTATTTGGCTGTTTGATAGGAGCCTGTATTAAGGTCCACGTGAATTTTGTTCTGCAGATGTGGGTTCCATACACGTGTTTTTGAGACGCACGAAAGGCCCTGGAGATCTTGAGTGGGTCGCACTGCATGTATATCTAGTCTAATTCTGTGAGCACTGCATCGTGCTTGCCCATGTTTCAGAGTATGTCGTGTGCGACACAGAGATTGACAAGTAAAGATATTGGTCAAGTTTTGGCTGCTTTGGTGCGCGTGACACTTCACATTTGCTTTTGTTCCACGCCATGTTGGTTCATGCTGGGATTCAAGAAGACTGAAACAAGTCTCTCCATGAAAAGCGATTCTCAAAACGTTAAACATAAAATGTCCGGTGGCCTAGATTCTCGTCTAGGGCTGCCTGGAGATGAGCTTAACGCAACGGAACCCCGGGAACCGCCAGCAAACCTCTTCCCTGGAAAAGTGTGCTCTCGTTCAGTTGCTTATTTACTCGTGCTTAAGGGGAGCGGGGGAGTGAATATAGGTACCATTATAGAAATTCTGTATGGATCACTTCAGAGATTCACTCCCCGACTCCCCCGTAAGGCCAGTGAGGTTGTAGCGTTGGATCATGCTGGGATTGAGATGACCGTGCCCGTCTCTGGACGGAGGGTGTGTCAGGGGGGCTCAGCCTGAGGGTGTCTCTCTCTCAGACTTTCAAGGTACCCATAAGAACCATGATGTAGGTATCCGGAGGTCCACGGATGGGGAGGTCGTATGCATGGGACCTCCCCAGAAATGTTGAAAGTAGGCAACATGTATAATATGGGGCCTTAATGATTACCTATATTTTGGGTGTTCCTTTAATCTCATCATTATTATAGTAGAATGGGCCCCAAAACCCTACACTAATAATTAAGGCCCCATCATTATACACTTCATTGAGTGCCGGCCTCAAACCCGATCGGGCCCGGGATGGGGGAGAGTGAATCTTAGTCGTCGAAACCCACCCGTGATTCTGAATCTGAAGCTCCATGAGCCAACGAATTGTGAACAGCTGCGGACTCGCCACCCGTGTTTGCACAGCTACAGATGGCAGGCCTATCTGTTACTCCGAGGCAGTGCCGTGTGGCTCTCTCAGAGGCTCTTCAAGCTGCGGGCTCAGATCATCCAAGTGCTCGGAAGTGCGAGTCAAGCACGGAGCGCAAGTGCAGTGTGCTCTGTGTGCATGGCTGGCTTCAGTGGTCAACAGACTTTGTGATCCAAATTTTTGCAGAGCATCAGAGGTTTCCGCAGTACCGAGGAGGAGGAGGAGCTACACACACTGCTTCCATGTTCTGGCACTGGTGCATAGACGTGCGCAGCATAGCACAATTGTACTTGAGTGCACACATGCTGGAGCTTGCAGCATCTGGCTCATGGCAACCAGCAACCGTCCTTGGTTTCAAGGGAAGCAACCGTCCTTAAAATGAGGATCCCGTTCCTGTTCCTGGGCCTTGAATTGTCTGGCCCTTATCCCTATTAGTGGGTAGTAGGGAGTAGAGGAATATATTACATAGGGTTTGTACAACGGGTGATATTTCCTTATTCCAGAAAGTAGCTGGACCTGTTGAAGCCACCCTGATCTCACGGTTGAGGGGGTCCTCTGTCATCTCATTACCCTGTACATCTTCCTGTTGAACCAGAAAGCTGTACGCTATGGGTGTTTGTCCACATTCACTATAACACGGGGCCCTCTGCTTTGGTCCCTATTACAGTACGGCTCCCTATATACATCTTCCACAGAAGCGAAAGCTGCGATTGGGTTTACCGTCTGCGGAAGCCACAACTGCTTGCCATAGAATGTTGCTGTCCTGCCGTCCTGTTTGCATGTCTTGGGTTCTCGAACTGAACTGATCCAGAATAAACACCGGTCATGAAAATGTGTTCCAAAACCAGGGTCCCATTCTATATCCATAAGGGTCCATGTACCCAAATAGTATATACTTTGGCCTTACAGTACACCCTATGTAGGTGCTTTGGGGTCAATACACCCTTAGGGTGTATGATTCCACGAATTTGAGTCAATCCCTCCGAGGGAGGCGGATTTGGAGCCTGCGTGGTGCATGTCAACGTGTAGATCGCGTTTCAGTGTGGGCAAAAGCAAGGATGAACAGGACAACACGGGTGATAGGTGGTCAATAATTCGATAAATGTAACAGGAGGGTCTAGAAGTTGGACAAAAGCAGAACGTGCGCAACGGAAACAAAAACGATGCTAATGTCATGCAGCCTCGCAGTTCAAAGCGCTCACTTCCTCACTGTCGGTAAACGAGCGCTCCAAGCGTGAGTGGCAATCCAGGTGCTTCTTGCTACGGACGGTGGCTGCGTGCCCACATGGTGAGTCTTGCGAGGGCGCCGAGAACAGTTTGTTGCAGCGTTTTGGGAGAGAGGCGCGGAGGGATCGAGTTAAAGGTGGCGAAGGTGCAGTACTTGCTATTTAACTGAAGTATATACGGCTTTCGGATTCAAGGCGTGGGGACTGGGATTCATGCTCGTTCCCAGCCCAGCTACCCAAAGATTCCTTCAGATTGCAGTGCCAGAGTTCTATCGGAAAACATCTGTAAGGAAAGGAGTTGTCGAGCCCGTCAGCGTGTGAAGTTTGAGGGATTGCGCCCCTCACTGCCGTAATTCGTGGCTAGCTTTGGAGCAAAAGAAGCAAACGAAGGAACCTACAGTTGAGGTCAGGGTACCCATGATTGTTGATTTCCACTTCCGTGCGGCACATTTTTGTGGAAGACATGTTCTTTGGGCTGGTCAAGGAGCTCAATTCCTGAACCGAGGATGTCTCAATGCAGTGCTGTTGCTGTACCCTAAACCCAGAAACCTAGACCCCTTAACCCTAGACTAGTCGCAGTACCCGTCTTCCATTGAGTCCAGGGTCTCACCCACGAGACTAGCAAGACTCCAGAACCTGAAGGCTGCTTGGCATCCGAGTCTGGTCTGGGTGATTTCAAGGCTTGCCAGAGCTTTTGAACAGTTCCCAAGCTTTGGAAATTCAAGCCTCCTGGGGTAAAGGGTTTTAGGTGCCCAGGTCGACGTCACGAAAATGACGGTTTAGGTCCCCCCACGCTGGACAAACCTTCGACATGAGCTGCTTGAAAGGTTTCTTGTGTTTTGATGATGTGTGGTGTCACTGCTAGGTGTTGCTTTGCCTTAGCCATTTTTGGTAAGGTTTCTCTGACCTGCTGTTCTGCTGCTGCTGATGTGGCTGTTGTTTCTGATACTAACATGGAAACCCACAAGAGCCCGATGAAGACTGATCATTGTCTGTCCCAGGAGGACGCCTGGCCTGGTGTCTTGTTGAGGGCAAGCCGGTGGCCAAAGACAACACGATCCAGATGGGTAAGGTGATGGCGACTGCGAAGCCCGACAAAGAGATCTACAAGAGCTTCTGTGTGGGCGTCACGAACGATGATGTTGCTGATTTGCTCTTAGCTTATAGTACCATATAGCAAAGAATACGGTTTCCTTATTGTACTGGCATGTTATTTAACATAGTAGGGTTATATGCTAGATGATAGTTTGTCTTTGTTGTAGTAGCTTCATGTACATTCCTGAAGAGCAACCCAGGTGTGTAAGAATGCCTACAACGTGCTTGACGTTGGCCTTGGCCTTGGTGTACAAGCGTGGCAGACGCTTTTGAAGCTGGGTTGCTGTCAGGGAGTTTCAACAAAGTTACTGCAACAGGGTTAATTGGGGCTGATGCAGTTTATAGGTGCTGTTTGTTAGCGACTAAATTACATGTACACCCGTCTGGCCGTTGTGAGTCTTGCAAGCTTTGTTTTACCCCGCAGCTTGACCGCTTCAGACAGGAAGCCTAGCTGCCTAGCTTGACTGTGCCGGTAGCGCGGCAGAGCAAAAGTTTTTGCTCAGACTTGTGCTTTCCTGCGTAGTCTACCTAGCGTCTCTAGCTCTGTATCGACTTCTTGCAACGTCATTGCTCTGCTCTTGCCGTTGCTTTGCTGGCTTCGATACTCAGTTGGTTGCACCAATGCTTTGTGCCCGAGAGTTAAGTGGATTTCTTTGTTTTTCACAAGAGGGTTTGCGGGGTTAAAAACGTGAACCGAATTACTACAGTAAGGATGTCTCATATTATCTTGTATTTTATCCCTATAACTTGAAAACTAAGTTCCGTAACACCAACCTAGGAAAGCCGACTCCATGGTTGGCCTTGGTCCATCGGAGGCTTCAATATGTGCCATGCAGGCCGGGAAGCGCCCGAACAGATTTGTAGCAACAGTGCAGTGGTGTCTGTTTTGACGCCTACCAGCCCAGATCGCGGTTGGTACTGCTTTGTAGGGCTTCTCTGCGTGGCCGTTTGTCAAAGAACAGCTCCCATGCTAGCTTTGTGGTTTCGGTGAGATGGGTTTTTGGGCTACATGGAGGGACATGACATGACACGAATAGGAGACACGTTTGCAGTCCCTTGAGGCCGCATATGCCGAATACAGGCGACCAACTTGCTTCATGCTCCGAAAAGTCCTTGCATGCGACGCGTGTGCCTTGGCGTTGAGTAACGATGCAAAAAACGCAAGACTCAAAAGGAGGTTCCATGGGCTTTGCTCCGATGTTTTTTGCGCAATTTCGCCTGGATTACAAGCACCCTGAACTAAAGAAGGACAGACATGTTGAAGACGTGGGCAATGTTGTTACAACTAGAACATGCGGTTCTGGTTTCGTACGCACTCGTTTCCAAAGAGGAGCGGTTCAACTCTTTCGCCACACGACAGGGTAGGCTCTTGAAACCCACGCGTGCCTCCTACGACTGCCTCAGCACCGAAGCCGCAGCAGCTTCTAAGTGAATTTAGGCCCATCTTCTGTTGATGATGGCTTTTGTGCCTGGCCTACCAAGCAACGGAACATACGGTGTCAGGGTCTCCAGCAGGTGAGCGGTTTTTGAGCATGTTTGAGCAGGGCACGAGCCCTCAAAGTTGCAGCTCTGTTCGACATTGGCTTGTCGCATAGCCTGGAAGGGCTTGAGCCCTGACCCCTGACATTCCAAGGCAAGACTTGCTGCCAGAATGGGGAGCTATCACCGTGCTACAAGGACCGGACATGGCCGTTTCAACAGCTAAGCAGGCTCTCTTTTGGCAAGCTTTCATAGGCTCCGTGTTGTCCGCTGCATGGCTTCAGTCGTTTCATGGATGCCAGAACCTCGACACAGTGGCGATGAATCTAGCCGAGAGCTTCGTGGACAGCGTGAAGTGGTACATGTCCCTTAGCCTGGGTTACTGTTAAGGAACTCAGTTTCAGTTGCCAGAATTAATCGGCTTGTTAATATGAAATTGATAATGGGGTTTGGTTCTTGTAGCAACGTCATTTCAGCACAACCTGCCATTAGCTGAAGTAGTCGAGGCTGCCAAAGATTACCCTCAAGTCCAGGATGCAACTGCATTATGTCTGAGGGTACAAACCCAGGTCATCTTTAACAAGGTCGGTCAGCTTTATCAAGTATATGCAGCGTGTCGCCTTGGACTACAGCCTGGACAAGGCCTACGACATGGTCATGTACGAGCGAGTGATTGTGCCTTTGCCTTTTGTTGTTGCTTGTTTGTAGCATTCGCATACTCTGAGAATGATCTCGTGTGGTCGCCCATTCTGGAATGTTCTGAAGCATCGTCGTTTTGCGCAAGACTGCGCTGAGGCGAAGACTCCTCCACCGGCCAAGCAGCAAATACGGAAAGCAACCGACAGCATGTTCAAGAAGATCAACGTCAAAACGGTTACGAAGGGGCTCAAGGTGGCGCTCAAAGTGTTGGAATTCATTCCAGAAGCTGCACCGTTCGAAGAGGCCGCAGCAACGGCTGTTGACATTGGTGGTGCTATCGTGACTGCTGGCCTGGCCCTTTACAAAATGACATGCGAAATGGTGACCAGTGTCGGAGGCTTAGACCCCACAGTCGAAGACGAGGAGGGCCTTCTCTACCAAAAAGCCGGCCCCGCCGAGAGGGTTGCGTACCAAAAGGACAACATTAGGGCATCTTGGTTCATATTTCAAGATGATTTGGTCGCAGGAATCAAGACTCAGATGCAGAATGTGGTGGCTTCGGCTGCGAAGCGCGATCTGATGGCACAAGGTCTCGTCGACCTTGAGGGCTTGTTTGACCCCGACCCGGAACGTCAAAAGGGGCAAACTGCGGCCATGGATGCAAAGACCGGCTGGGCGCTGGAGGAGGGAAAGGTGACGCGCACGAATTCTGTCGCATTCCAGTTCGCCGACAACTATGTCAGGTACCATGCCTACACGGCATTGTTGCCTGCAGCTTACCGAGTCTGTGTGGAGAATGACTATATATGCAAGCGGTCTCCAATGATGAGGCAGCGTATCCACGACGACTCGTTCGATTGCTGCATGTCAAGAAAAGTGGAAAGCATAAAAAACGCATTCTCTCGCGGACCCTTTCATCCGGTACATTGCCATAGTTGCACTCCAACATCTTGCTTGAGAGAGCAAGCATTGGCCGCTGGTGGTGGCTTGCTTTGGGATGCGAACGAAACATTTCAACAGAAGGATAATCCATGCCCCAAGGAATTTAAGGGTTATCCTTGGCGCTTGAATGGTGGAAGCTGCAGCTTGTACGTTTACAACAGACCGAATCGTGGTCATCCCAAGACAAAAAAACAAAAGACGGAATTTTGCAAAATCCTGGAGGACTGGTCGGTGAAGAGATCTTCGGAGGTGCAACCCCGATCTCTTTCGGGATGGCTTTGTGGATTCGAGTCTGAGGCGGACATGGAGAAGAGTTTTCAGGCGAACGAGGCTCTTCAGTCCGACCTGGACAAGCTGGTCAGCTGGTTCACCGGCTCCGAGTTGAGCAAGACTGACGGGTACGCCACCTTCGGCGACATGCTGAAAGAGCAGGTCGTTGGGCCAGTCCGCAAGCCTTTCGTGGTGGCAGGAGGCTTCAGCTTGGAGATTCTTAGGCTGCCGAACGCTAAGTACGTTAACAGTCCGGCAGGCAGATCCTACATCTACTCTCAGAACGTACACACGCAAGGATGCCAGCTGCAGAAGTCCTTCAACGCATGCCAGAAACCACGCCGGTTCCAAGGTGGCGAACGTGACGGACACTGCGGGCATGAGCTTATGATTGATGAGGGCTGCTTCAAAGGCGAGGCTGAAGGCCCTCTCATTCCTGTTCCGGCTTGTTCCAAAGCATACTGCAAACATACCTGCAACACCAAAAACCATCCCTGCGAAAGCAACGGCCACGGTGTTGTGTCGGAAGACAAGAAGGACAAAAAACGCTGCGATTGCTCTGGCTGCCAGGCGTGCCCCAAGTGTCAGCAAGTCGTCTTCGGCCCAAACGAACCCCCAAAAGAAGGCGTTTGCAAAGACCTCGAAAAAGGGCTGACATGCCCGGAGTTGGTGACAAGCAAGAACTGGCTCAACCAAGATACGGACAAGTACATATTCCATGTGCACACGGAGTCAGAGCACGGGCAGACCCGGCGGGCTTGTGCCATCAAGAAGAGTGGCCCTGGCGACGGTCCAGGTTGGAACATTAACTTAGCTATCTTGTGCTGTCCACGAACACTTTGATGGTTGGACAGAAGTTGTAGTTGCGGCGGGGTAGAGCTCCCGTACATTTAGAGGTCAGCGCGGGCTGCTGACACCTAGCAGCGCAAGGCACCCCTTCAAGGCAGATACGAGCCGGGCCGAGGGAAAAGTCACGAAAGATGATCGGTTTTGCAAGCAAAATGTGCACTAACTCGGACAATAGACTTGCGAATTCTGTGATGTTGTTGTGGTGCGTACATGTGCAGGAATTCGCTGGGGGATCTGGCTACCAATGGAGGGACGACAGCTTGATCGAGATGTTGCAGCAAAGCCTGTCCATCTGAAGTCAGCCACTAGAAGCCAGCGCAGCACTCGTTTCGTGCTTGAGCTCGAAGGCGCGTGTGCCTCAGTGAACAGTTTCGGGTTAGTTAGCTGCCGTCGAGTAAAGACGGGCACTCGACTGTTTCTTCTCCGCTTCTACCATCCTGGTTTTGCTTGCTGCTTGGTGTGCGGGACCTCTTGGGGTTGAGGGGCTAAAAAAGAGATTCTGTTTTCGTATATCTTGATTGATATCGTCATTGATTTTGATAGCAAATAGAGAGATCTATATAAATATGATTTATTTTGAACATTAGAACGGCTTTGTATTTTTAGGGCTTCGTCGTTAAAATTTATTTATAAGATATATAGGTGTAGATAATTTTCTTTTGAATTTTGATATTTATAATTTTCAGAGCAGATTCAATATATTTTTTCTGAATTGGAATAAAGAAAGAATTTCTTCGAAGAGATTTTCTGGATCTGGGAAAGAAATAATTTCGTGAATTTATATTCTTTAAACTTTAGTACTGAGAATATATTTCTGAAAGAAAATATTAAATTTTTTCGATTTGAAACTTGCATAAATTTCTATAGAGTTTTGCTCTAGTTCTTTTCATACGAAGTCTTGATGCTATTTCTATGAAATTTTGCGAGAATTTCATACATATTTTATAGAATTTAATTTTCATAAAAATGATTTATTTTCTTTCTTTATATATATGTCTGAAAGAATTTCATAAATATGAAATATTAGATGATTTATAAATATAGAATTCGAAAACAAAATTTGGGGGGTCTTT